AAAAGAATAATGTTACTGGGTGTGGTGACTCACACCTGTAATCCCAGCACTTGGGAGCCTGAGGCAGGCGGATTACCGCGAGTTCAAAGCCAGCCTGAACTATGTAGCAAGACCTTGTTTCAAAAAAAAAAAGAAAAGGAAAAAAAGGAATAAGGTCCCTGTGGCAAAAGAGTGGTATTATCTAACAATCAGAGAGAGTTAAGAAGATAATTAGACCTGGTGTACCTCAAATTGATGAACCTGAGGAGGCAAACAAAGGGAGAGTAGTCTTCTGACTGCTGGCCAGAGTGACACCACTGCCTGTGGCTGCTGTGTGTGCAGCTACAGCAGAACAGAGCTGTCCTTGACGGTGTGTGCTAGACCGGCACAGTCCTGAGGAGGGTGGGATGGGAGCAACTCACCTTTCCCAAGGACTCTTTTGTCTTTGTTTGTTTTTGTTGTTGTTGTTTTGTCTTTTTGAGACAGGATCTCACTATGCAGTTCAGGCTGGGCTTGAGCTCACTTTGTAGCCCAGGCTGGTCTTGAACTCACAAGGATCCTCCTGCCTCAGCCTCCCGAGTGCTGGGATTATAGGCATGGATCACCACGCCTGGCTCTTCTGTCTTTGTTTCCACTCTCGATGTTTGGCCTAGAGTGGTCTCTAAGCAATCGCTTAGTAAGGGGGGTGGTGGCCCTCAATAGCCCAAGGGCCTATCAACTACACAGGACTCTTATTGACCACTGCTAAACTCATTTCCGGGGCAAGCTGCACTTGTCGGTGTCCTTCTCCAGTCTCTAGACATTGTCACAATTTGAAGACTCGGGTTTCTTTTCTGTCTCCCCAGGAAATTCACAGAACACCAGAAAATTGTTTTTCTCCACTATGGAAGGAAAAAGTAAAAGTGAGCACGAGGGTGAGGGACAGGAAGGAGGACCTTCCTAATAGGTAGCAGCAGGATACAATAAGTAGTAGAGCATGGGGCCTGGGGATTTACCTCAGCGGCACAGCGCCTGCCTGGCAAGTGGGTGGTCATGAGTTCGATTCCTGGTAGTGGAAAAAAAACCCCAATAAATAAATAAAAGAAAGTAGCAGAGCATGGTAGAAATTGTTTTTTGTTTTTTTTTTTTTCCCCCCAGTACTGGGAGTCGAACTGAGGACCTTATGCTTGCCAGGCAGGTGCTGTGCC